CAGAATTTTAAGGAAGCGAGGAATTGACGCGGGGAACCCATCTGGCAAAACGCTAATTTTCATGGGACAAAATGTATTAATTTTCTGCTACAGCGAACAAAAATAACTTTCAGTTCATTCATCATTGTCAATCCAGCTGTCCATTAGTCCAGTCCACTTTTATTCCATGACCAGCACTCGACGCCCAAGAGGCTCTAAGACAGGAAACTTATGAGCCTCAAATAGATAAGCAAAGCACACAAGGGAAAAATGGATGGCACGATGGTCAGTTGTTATGAAATTGCCCGCTCTTTAGTCGAAAGAATTGCACTTCCGGGTAAACAATGTTCAACATATCTAATGATGCGACAGTTAATGGTGTCCGCACCAAAATGAGTCCAATGGCTCGAATATCATCCGATTTCCGAAATGTCGTTGGTTTCCACAAATGTTTAACTCTCTTCCTTTTAGGTTAATGCTCCTACTAAAGCCTATTAGACAATCGATGTCCCTTCACCCTGCGCCAGAGGGGCTCATAAGGCCAGAGACAACCGATGTGTCATCGTTTAAATGCTTCAGCAAACATTTCCTTATTGTTTTGCTCTAAGAATGTGCGGGCTGCCGGAACTGAAGGTTTGATCGCAAATGTGTTTCAAAACAGGAAATGTGTGGTAAAGATTTCTTTGTGTAATGGTATTTTGATTTAACCGAGATTAAATAGGCAAAAGAATCCGGTTTTGGATTCTGTAGATTTTTTCTCTCAAAAATACTTGACCCGTACTTGACTAAAGCTACTTTGCATCAGCGTCCATTTTTGANGTACGGCATGTTATTGTGAAGGAGTTCCAATTCCCAGTTATATAAAATGATTATTACACGAACGATACGCAATTACAACAAGGACATCACTTTAATGTTAGGTCAAGAGTTTCGTGCAGGGGCGATACTGATTTAAGAATTGATGACACTTCTTGTTAAGACTAGCTTTAGATTAAAATATATCAGACCTTTCTTTCCAGATACATCCTATTTGCCGAAAATGATATCATAGTTTAATATAGATGCAGGTTTTTCGGTTCTTCGCGAATCTTTTGACAGCGAGTAATTTTGTGTGGGTGAACCATCTGAACCAAGATTAAGTTTAATTACTTTCGAGGCCGTTCACGGCCGGGTAAAAGTTGCCAAATGAATGTGCCAGAAAAAATAAATTGACTCATACGAGTATCTAGTAAACAGCCTACTTTGTCATGCACCATCAGTTTAGGCTTAATCACGAAAATTCGGCGTTGACTATGTCAAGCCTATAACTGCCTCGGCGAAATGTCTCGACAATTCGTAGCTATACGAATATTAGTGATGTATGCAGTAATCAAAATCAAAATTTTCTGGACCTTGAAACTAATTCTTTCACAATATTTACAACGTCTGTGTTATTGGTAATGCATGTAATGTAGGCGACATCTGAGCTGATTTCCGCCGTTCTGCGATTTCATCCCGACTTTCACAACAAAACCTCTTGAAGTGAAGTTGGTGATTACAGCCGACAAAGATTCACTCCGCGCTGAAATTAAAATTACAGTTTAAGAAATCGGGCTGAAATTTTCAGCCTAGTCAAACGAGTTTTTCTACTGAACTGGAATGAGATTTTAGCCTGGGTTGAAAGACGATCAGGGCATGATATGTGTATATTGTGATTGTGTTTTCACGAAACTCGGAGATATAGCGTGAATTTTGAAATTCATCATGTAATGGCAACAAAATTCCTGTCCCCTTTTCGGGCTGAAATAACAACAGTTCTCGATCATCAAGCATGTCCCTACACAAGGCCACGTTGATTTTAATCACCCTATAAAATGCCATTATTGCCACTACAACTGAATTCCCTTCACGTGCACTGAAATGAGAAACCAAATGAGTTATTATTTTTGGCCCATATTAGTTCAAAGTTTATTAGCAGTCGACCTCTGACGGACAGAATCAACAACTACTGCTTTCTTAAACAACAGACTGAAGCACATTTTCTTTTCCTGTATTCACAAGGTTTCAAAGAGAGGTCACTGATGATGAAACTGACGTGTAATGCCAACTCGCTTTTAACTTTCACTTTGTAGACTTCGTAAGATACTTACAACAGAAAGAATCTCGCAAATTTCAGTTCTGATTTAAAATTACATTGGGTGACCAATATGAGGCGAATGATATCAGTTCTGCAGAAATACTGAGCGGGCTGCCTGTGAGAGCAGGGTGTATCTCCTAAAAAAGATCCGAATGATCAAGAAAATTCTATGAGCTGGACTTTCAGCCTGTTGTCTTTATTGGCTGGAAAGAGAATACTTTTCTTTGCTAGATAAACAATTTACAGAATTCAACGTCGATGATGTAAGTATTACTCAACTGATTTTTCACTGCGTCATACCAACAGAACAAAACAGAATGTACCTATTTCGCGATGACAGATCATCGTCCAATGATCGAGTGACTACATTGCGTCAATCCGAAATTGTTTTTATTTCATTGTTCCTGCGTCAAACACATTCCTAGTTTTGAGTGAAGACCTGAAGCTGATATTGATCGACCATCCGGTCTCTTGGTGTTGAAATAAGGATTAGAACAACTTCTGCAGTTGTTGTCCGTTGAAATTGACGTCAAAGAAGACATAGTTACAATGAGTTTTCCTTTCTGGCGGGATGACAACATTCCTTTACGAAATTTCATTCGAATTCTTTATTCAATAATGCAGTATGACAAACAGAGCAGAAGATACCTATTTATTTATTTATTTATTTTTTTGAAAAACGTTGAAACTCGAGGTTAGACAATCAGGTTGCCCAGGCAACCGGGATGGCAGTGTTGAAAAGCTGGTTTCGGCCAACGGTAAAAGTAACAAAAGCAATATAATGGGCGTGAAGATCTAAAGCGGAGCATGTTGTAATGGGATTAATATAATAACGCCGATGGCCCTTTTTGTTTTCAGTCATACTATTTACTGACATCTGACGACCAACAAATTGGTCCATAATCTGTCGCCAAATAAATACCGAAACTCATCAACTATTTCCTTTACCCTGTGGTTAGTTCCTGTAGACCTTTCGTCCCGAATGTCAAATAACTAGAGATAATTGTGATGAATTCGGCCTGACTCGGGATCGGAATGCGAGAATATGGCGCATTTTTGAACACTAAAGAATAGCGTTTGTTTTTCAAGCTGATTGTAGTTCTTCCTTCGCATCAAGTCTCCTAAGGTTAGCTAACACTGCACTGATGAAGGAATCAAGGAAAACTGAGATGCGCCCGGTAACAGAGGGCAAACACTCTACGAGCAAAACGGTCTCTAGTCCACAAGTTCCGCCCTTTCTTAACCAGATTCTCTGCTTGCGTCGTTGCATGATCTGCGTCCTCACTATAAGCTGAAGAAATTTGAAATCACTGACAGCTTTATTTCTACGGTTAGGCCTACCGTCCACACTAATCCGGACCGAAAACGGAGCTTTTCGAAAACGTTCTTCAAATCGGAAGAACTTGAAAACGCTGGCTATGCGTTATGTTTTAGTTTGGACGGAAAACATTTTGAAAACCGCGGCGAAGCTTTTCGATCACAATGACGCCACGATAATCATGCGATTTTCCTGCACGAAGTTCTCTCAAACTTAAATCCAAAATGACCAGCGATTATTGTGTTTTCAAATTTCTCCGGCATAGTGTGGACGGGGCCAAAGTGAATGCAAGTGTACAAACTGAAAATGGCGAGAAAAGTTTCCGCTGAACGAAGTCTTGCCCGTGTGAAAGGAAAAATAATAACGTTAAACTGAATAGCAATTGCCAGTTTGTTATCTTTAGAGGAATGCGGTGGTCAAAAAGGAACCTAATTTTAGACGCCATACACTAAAATTAAACATTGCATTTAAAAATTGCTCTGCCCAAGCTTACAATGAAAACAAACCACAAAAAAAGTTTAAATTTAGCCTTGCACATTGTTAAGTTGCCAGAGAAATGAGATGCTGGGAACAATTACGAAGATCTTATGATGAACCAAACCTCTCTTCTCTGTCTTTTTGCGTCGACAGAGTTCAGTAGATATGACATTTGAATATTATCTTGAAAAGAAGTTTATACACAAATCTCTGAAACATTTCGAAGATCCATTTTCCTTTCGCAATCGTTTTCATCCCATTAAAAGCCAGCCAAAAGCGCATTCAGCAGATCCAGCACATTTTACAGTGAAGGAATTTCGATGTTTTCCGCTAAGCTAATAAAAATAGACATTAATGAAAATTTCAATTCGTTACTGATTAAACAACAAAACAATGACATATCTTTCTTTAATTTTACACAACAGCAAATTTACATATTGTTATTCATCACTTTAATATCTCTCTTCTCAGTTGCGGTTTTCAAAAGATGTTCACACACAAGAGTTAATAATAGTGGCATTAAAATTCTTTTGGGTAGACATATGCTCCCGGAAAAGACTTCTAATTCTATTTTATGCCACAAACAATCAAAGAAATTATCTTTAAATGTTTATTCAGCTCCTCCTTATATTCTTTGGTGCCAGAGGGATGAAATGAGTTTAAGAGCATTGTAAACAGGAAGCTGGCAATAATGGAAAAAAAAAGAGGCGTGCTTTCGGTTTTGACCAAAGTAGAACGGAATTACACTGGAATTTCGGAAAAACCCAAATTCCTTCATCAAGAATTCGTACAAACTGAAAATCTACTTTCAGCTCATCTCGTAAATTGAATTTTTTTGAAGGTATGTCCTCAAGGATTTCGTTCTCTCATGACGATGAAAACTGACAGCAGTATATAAATGTACGCAAGAGATGCTTCTACGAGTGGAAGTAAATCAAAACCCTTTTCCCTGCAGAATTTTAAGGAAGCGAGGAATTGACGCGGGGAACCCATCTGGCAAAACGCTAATTTTCATGGGACAAAATGTTTTAATTTTCTGCTACAGCGAACAAAAATAACTTTCAGTTCATTCGTCATTTTCAATCCAGCTGTCCATTAGTCCAGTCCACTTTTATTCCATGACCAGCACTCGACGCCCAAGAGGCTCTAAAACAGGAAACTTATGAGCCTCAAATAGATAAGCAAAGCACACAAGGGAAAAATGGATGGCACGATGGTCAGTTGTTATGAAATTGCCCGCTCTTTAGTCGAAAGAATTGCACTTCCGGGTAAACAATGTTCAACATATCTAATGATGCGACAGTTAATGGTGTCCGCACCAAAATGAGTCCAATGGCTCGAATATCATCCGATTTCCGAAATGTCGTTGGTTTCCACAAATGTTTAACTCTCTTCCTTTTAGGTTAATGCTCCTACTAAAGCCTATTAGACAATCGATGTCCCTTCACCCTGCGCCAGAGGGGCTCATAAGGCCAGAGACAACCGATGTGTCATCGTTTAAATGCTTCAGCAAACATTTCCTTATTGTTTTGCTCTAAGAATGTGCGGGCTGCCGGAACTGAAGGTTTGATCGCAAATGTGTTTCAAAACAGGAAATGTGTGGTAAAGATTTCTTTGTGTAATGGTATTTTGATTTAACCGAGATTAAATAGGCAAAAGAATCCGGTTTTGGATTCTGTAGATTTTTTCTCTCAAAAATACTTGACCCGTACTTGACTAAAGCTACTTTGCATCAGCGTCCATTTTTGACTCTGTATTCAGTGTGTATGACAAGACAACAATTAAGAGTCAGCATTGTACTCTTCAATAAGAAGGAAAGCACAATTCTCAGTTTGAAACTAACTCCTACGCATTGCCCGAGTTAATTTCGTTGAAGTGCGTTGTCTAAATGTTATTCTCACCAATTCAAGCTGGGGAACACACGGGAAGGTGACAGGGGGCGGGTGGAAAATTTCCCGCCTCTTCCCACACTTTAATTTACGGGTTTTTGCTCCTTACGTAATAGTATTCGGCCACATTTGGTGCTTTTTTTGTGCTTTGCTTTTCAGAAGTCCTGTCTTTTTTCTATGGCAAATACTAAAGAATATTGCAAGATGTTTTTGTAGTGGTCCGGCTCCTGTCTCCTAGGGAATCCCGCTTTCCACCCCCTCTCCCACCACCAGTAGAGTTCCCAACCCCTTTTCTCCCAGGTTCCCTCCTCCACGTCTTGCCCCACAATGAATTGAGAAACACTGTTGTTCTAATAATAGTTAAAGGTTGAAAATTCAGAGAAAAATGTATCAAATAGAGCGGCCTCCAGCTCATTAAATGGAAGTTACGATTTCTTGAGCTTGTGGTTTCATTTATCTTTCACAATCGTGCAAAAAAAAAACAAAAACAAAAACAAAACAAACAAAAAACAATAAAAATAAAAATAAAATAAAAAGGCCAGAGGTCAGTGCTCAACAACAATCAGAACAACTGAAAGGAAGGCAGGCAATTCGTGCCAAAAATAACAGATAAAACACGCCCTGGACTTCTTTTGTTCTATTTCAAAGGTTTTGTATCGCCTAAAAATAACAGAACGTATATAAACGGTAGTGAAACAGCTCCACTTAAACTTATGAGGACTAGAGGTCTTCGCTCTTACGGATAAAGCAGCACCGTCCACAAGGCTTTTGACTGCATCCTTTCTCCTGCCATCAGACCTGAGGCGCCTTAAAGAGATTAGTCGTGAGAAATAACGAACAAATTTTACAAGATGTTAGGCTTCCCTCAGAAAATCTGTCTTATTTTTACAATAGTTCTTTCAACGAATGTCGAATTCATTATGGGAAAGCCAGTGAACAACGCCAAGTTGAACCCCTTGTTGGAGGTAGGTTGAATTTCAGTGAAGGAGTTGTGTTCTCAGTTGCTGCAAGACCATTTACAATCGCGGATGATGTAGTAATCGGCCACTTTGAAAGGCTGTTTTTCAAGAATCAAGCTTAAAGGATGTTTTTTCAACATCAAACAGATCGATTATAAATGCTTAATTCAAAGTATACTTCTTTCAAAAGGGAATATTCCACTCATCAGTTTGTTTATCAATCCAAAACATGGTTGTTGACTTTTCATGCGGAGTTAAATAGAATTATTATACATTGAACTCGCTATCTCTTTTCTGATTGGCCGAAAGCGTACGGTGAATTTTCGAAATCAGCGCCTTTGACGTTATCTAGCTGCAGATTATACAATATCATGCATGTCAAGGTCATGTATGACCGCGGTGCATGGGTAATCATGCCAAGTTCGCGCGCTTTGTGTTGCGTGTCGTCAGTGAGGAAGCAAAAACATGACTCCCATTTTGTTTCTTGTTCAATGTATAATAAAACAATCATTAGATTCAGTTTTTGTGATATCCAGAGTAATCAAGGTCTCGGTAAGGGTTGAGCCTCAGCCTTCGGCTTCGGCTAATAACCCCAACCTTGATTATTCTGGATATCAAATAAACCTCATCCACTAATTGTTTATAACCAAGCTACAGTAAAAATATATTTGGTATGGGAATCTTTTTTCATTCACTCGAAATGATGTTTAAGTAGACATGCACAGGTTGAACACTGATTTGGCACCATTCACAATGAACTTCGTTGACTACCTTAATTATTTGCAAAAAATTTCGGACGTTTTACTTCGGAGTTTAATTTTTTTCTGACAAATTTGGGACAAAAATTCGGACACTTTGCTGAAACACAGCTTAAGTAAGTTTACGCCTACAAAACTCGAATAAGACCGAAACAACAACTGTGAAAATGACAGTTTTACTGCAGCCTCAAGGTTTTACAGATACATTGACGAGAAAATAACAAAAATTGTGTACGAAAATAGCACAAATTGCATTGTGTCACCAAGAACTCGTTCCATTAAGGAAACTTAGAGCTATAGAGTTACTTAAATGTTTTATACAGTACTGTGAATATTTCGGACGGTTAAAAGGTTCGGACGGTTTTATTTCAGTTCGAACACTTTTTTTGTCCGAAATTTATTTGCAAGCGGTGTAGCTCAGCATCTGACAATATTCCGCAATAACATAATTAATCCTTTTCCTTAATTTTTGCTCTTCACACAGAAATATCTGAGACGTTATGGTTACTTAAAACCGGCTACAAAGGTCTTCCCTCACTGGCGAGCTTCATGGGATCAAGAAATAACTCAGTCTTCGATGGAAGGTGAACAAGAAATCGAACAAGCAATTCGAAAACTACAAAACGTTGCTGGTCTTCCCGTGACAGGAAAAATAACAGATGAAGAGGCTGTTAAGATAATAAACCAAAGGCGATGTGGGATGAAAGATTTTCATACCGGAAAAAGAACTAAAAGATTCGCACTGGAAGGCACGTTTTGGCATTCAAAGGTATTCCACATTCTAGCTCAGTTTTCAGCGCATGAGCTGGCGGACGGCCCACCCACCCACCCGGATTCGCGTGGGTCGCAATTTTGGTACCTCCCCTAAGCCAAGCTACCAGCTTGGCTTAGCCCTCTGAACAATATTTTCCCCACTCCTTAATATCACTGAGCATGAGTGTGAGCGTTGTTGAATAGAATACTAATTAAAATCACCAATCTCCAAGTAATATATTACATTAAATATTTCAAAGAGATCATTTGAAGATTAACTTTCTGTCGATGTATACTTCTGTACTTTCTGATAAACCCTGACAATTTGGCAAGAAAAGAAGATGATGGGTTCATTCAGAACGTTTTACCATGTGCTCTTTGCTTCTAGTCACTCTGAAAAGATTTCGCTTGCAATTTGCCCTAAGCAGACCTTGATCGACCACCATGTACCTTGAATAAGCACGAAATAAGAGGGTGGCTCGCTCGGAATACGTTTAATGAACACAGGTTTTGATACCTGTGTTTCATTAGCCATTTGTTCTGAAATCCTAGATCCTTTGGTCGCCAAAATTGAAGACACACAAGTTTACAACACAGACTTCGTTTTTTTGGGCAGTTTAGCTGACGTATGTGCCGTTGCCTTTCAGTAACCAATAAGAATCTGAGAATTGTGGGGTACTTTGAATCGTTACGTTATCTCACATACCTTTCTGAAAAAAGACTAAAACCTTCAACACTCTGTGTCACTTATTAAGAAAAAATCAGCACAGATAGCCTAGCATTAAGCAAATAAAATGATCGCTGTATCGACGCCATGTTTGTTTATTTGTAACTTGACCTTTCGCGCGCGCTGAACCGCATTAGCAAGAGCGTGCGCGGAAATTGTGTTCGGCCACCTTAACTATAGATACTACTGGTATAACAAGTTATATACATGGCTTCATCTAAACTTGGTACCTCGTCCCACTCAGAGAACGAAAACATGCCTGGATCACTCACATCTTGTCTCATTACATTACAGGACTTGACTTACAAAATTCAAAGCTTTTCATCGGACTTAAGCAGAGAAGATATCGCTAACACGATAGAGAAAGCACTGCAGATGTGGTCCAACGTTAGCCAGTTGACCTTCACTCGAGTCACAACACCGGGCGTCAAAGCTGACTTAAACATCAAGTTCGTTTCTGGTTTCCATGGTGACAACCACCCAACAGACGGGCCTGGAAAGCAGTTAGCGCATTCTTTCTACCCGTCAAACAACAGGGGACTCGCTGGTGATATGCATTTTGATGACGATGAAACCTTTTCCATTAATGGCGGGCGTGGTGTGGATTTTCTTTGGCTGGCCGTGCATGAACTGGGGCACAGTCTCGGTCTTGAACATTCATATAATCATCCTAACTCAGTCATGTTCCCGTATTATAAGGGATACAGGCCGAAATTACGGCTGAGCAGTGACGATAGAAATGGCATACAACATCTTTACGGTAAGTTTGCATACACTGTGACGTAATACAAAAGGAGAGCTCTGTATGGTTTGTCAGTGTTTTTGGTTCAAACACAAAGATGTGATACACTTTTGAAAAGCTCTGATGAAAAGAGCTTTGTATGTATTTCTTATATATATCTTTTTATTTATTTATTTATTTATTTATTCATTTATTTACTTTTTGTGCACTTTTGAAAAGTGTATTACCTCTTTGTGTTTGAACCAAAAACACTGACATTCGGTAAACTTACTAACTTTTAGATGCTTTTTTGGCTACCAGGCTCAGTTTTAAATTAATCAATTTTAAATATTCGTACCATGTCCCTTGAATGTTTAGAACATGGCTAATTCTCTCTTCTGTTCCTCTGCCAGGTTCTAAGACCGATCCTACTGCGACAATCCCGACGTCGCCAGCCGTCTTATCTGAGTCCGCACCACACATCTGTTCTTTGCAGAAGATAGATGCCGCAGTAACGACCAAGAATGACAACACGTATGTCTTCAGTGGTGCCTACTTTTGGCAGCTTCAAAGGTCAGGGCTTGTCTCAAACGTTTTGAAGATTAGAGAGAAATGGGTGGGGCTGGAAGATAACATCGATGCAGCGCTAACACGTCGCGAAAACGGAAAGACCTACTTCTTCAAAGGATCAAAGTATGTAAAATAAGTTATGCATTGCTTGAACAGTACGTAAGCGATTTGCGTTGGTCTAATGAGCAAGACTTGGGAAATGATTTCTGTCGAGGGGCACATCATATCCAGGATTTTTCACGGGGAGAGAGGGGTGGGGTGGCTAATACCTTGGGGTTGCAGAATCAATAGGGCGTACCCACAAAATGTTGTAAGTTGAAAATTTGAACCTAATTGAAAACTTTTACACCAGAAACACTAGCAAAAGCACAAAGGAAAACGTACAATGAGGTAGCTTTCCATAAGTACTTGCCCTTTAATTTTGTCATAATATTCAGAATCTTTTTCAATTTTCTGATTTTTTGCTTCTCCAAGAGGGGGTGGCTAGCCAGCCACTCCACCCTTCCCCCGTAAAGCCGCCCCTGCAGTCCTAAGGCTTGAGCTGATTGATACAAGCATTTTTCGAAATACCTCTGATGTACCTAACACTGATGAGCCAAGAAAAGGGCAAAAAAGAAAAATATTTTTCGCGTATCAATAGGAAAGCTGTCACTCAACTGATTTAATTTCGAAGCTAACATACTGCTTGCTTTGTTGATGTCGCGCAGATAGACACTGTACTGTACTTTCATGTTGTAACGGTTTTGTATCTGCGCATTAATTGCCTTCATTAGTTGTTGAGTGGAATTTTCTGATTTACCAACGGAACATACAAGTTCCCCGTCACTTACTGCGAAACTAAACTGTTTTGCCCTCCTAACCGTCCAAGAAACATGATTTTTTAACAGCTTAATATAATCTTCTGCCTTAGATACTGGATTTTCAATAATACAGCTGCATTGGAAGGTTCACTTGACATCACAAACCTCAGTCTACCAATTGAACTTCAAAGCATGGACGCAGCCTTGGAACTTCCAAGAGAGGACCACGCCTACTTCTTCAAGGGTGATAAATTCTGGCGATACAACTGGTCCACTGCATCAGTTGATCAGGGATATCCACAGACAATAAGTTCATTCTGGAAGGGGCTCCCAAATGACGTCGACGCTACCTTTCAGTGGAAGAGAGGAAGAGTGGTGATTCTAAAAGGCGGTGAATACTACTCTTTAAAACACAAGGGTAAAATGGGAGTAAAGAAAGGTTTCCCAAAAATGTTTGCTAGCAATTGGCTAGGCTGCCCTGTAAAGAATCTCGGAGAACACTGAAGGCGCGGGTCGTAAATAGTGAGCTAGCTTGCGTTTATGCGAGAACTGTACAACGGCCGGCCGTGTTCCAGCTGTCAAGAGACGAACCTAACTTTACAAATTGTGAAGGCTTTTTTCAAGCTTTGGTACAGTGTGCGATATATTTATAACAGCTGTGTATGATACTGTGAGATAAATAAGAATTAAAAAAATACCGTTTTGCGCTGTGAGGAAAATGTCCATCTCATCAACCACTCCCTAAATTCCTGACAGTGCCTCTCACTGTACTTAGGAACTAGTCACTAAGCATTGGGCTAGGAGGGTGGACCGGGGGAGAGAGGGGGTGGGTCATCAGTTTTTGAGCCCTTGGTAGGGGGTGGGTCGTTCAATTTTCTGCTTCCCATGGGGCTGCGTCATCCTTTTTCATAACAGAAATTGCCATAATTGTATTTAATAGTCTTATACTACTGGAACAGTCGACCACACATTTTGTACACATCGAGGCAAAATTGTTACAGTTCAACCCCTGTTAAACCGCTCTCCCCGGGGAAATGGATAGTGGCCGCTGTAATATTTAAATAAAATCGAAGATCAGTTACATGCCTGATACCGAACTGAAAAAATAGTGTTTTGTAGAATATTGTTTCTTACCTATACAAATTTCTTTGTTATTCCATATTATATTGTGCCACAGTTTCTCTGTAGAAAACGGGTCTCTAAAATCTGCCCGCCATTGAAGTAGCTCGGTATAAAATTGAGAAGAGATTGTGAAATCCTTTAGTTATAATTGCAATGAAATAAGAAAGGACCGCCAAAACGTTTTAGAACTTGATGTATGTAATTTTTCCATATGCCGTCATTTTCGCCGAGGATTCTTTTTAGCCAGGCCAGTCGTAAGGATTTAACCATTGTTTCTAAATCAATCATTTTCAGTCCACTCTTTTCATAATCATTTATTGCTGACAAAAGTGTGACTTTTCTACTCGTTTCCATAGAAATTTAAAAATCAATCGGTTCAGTTCTTGGATAACTCCCTTGGGGGTAGTTAATAATGACGATACATGAACAAATTTCTGGACGATCAGAGATTTTATTATTGTTACCTTCCCATAGAGAGTGAGAGACCTCTTGCAGACCAAACATTTACATTGTCTAGTTTTTCTATGAAATTTTTTTCGTGTGAGTAATTTTCGATCGTAAGAGTCATAAACCCCTAGGGCTTTAATTGGTTCATTTGCTCATTGATACCAAAGGGTTTTGTTTTATTTTCTCTTAAAGATCCAATCCACATTCCTTCAGTTTTAGTGAGATTAAATTAAACTGAAAGTTTCTTAAAATCGTCAAGCAGCCTGAAAAGAGTTTGAGCTGAGTTAATGCACGAGAGCCAGTCACCGATATAACGATCTTCTATAAAACCAGTTTGATTGTGATGGATAATGTTCGGCAGGACATTTTTTAATTCTAGTGGCTATTAGCTACAGACTTAATTTTTGCGTCCACGTTTGTAAGGCGAAGATTGCTCACCTGTTGTCCACAAAAGATTGGTCTTTTCCTCTCTTTTCAATACGTGCAATGACTGCTTGTTTTTACGAGCATGACATTTCGCCGTTTTCGAAGCATTCGTTTGTACATCGAATAATAGTTCACTAATCATGAATGGCCAGAATTATTTGTAGAATTCGACGGGAATTCCATTGTTCCCAGGGTTTTTGGTATTTTGAGAACTTTCTAAAAGCAAAGCACATTCTTCTAAAGTGATTTTACCTTCACATGAAGCTACATGACATCTTTTTTTTCTTCCGAAAGTTTTTGGAATTAACAAGATCTTTTAAAAAAAGATTAGATCGCTTCATTGTTTCTACTCGTGTATAACTCCTGATAAAAGCGTCGCGTTGTTCGAACAAGATATTAATATTTAAGATGATTTCCGCAGAACATTCGAGCAATAACGGCAAAAATTAAGTTACCAAGAAAACCTCATAACATTTGACACTTAAATAAAGTTTTTATTATTACATTATTATTATCATTATCATTATTATTGTTATTATTATTATTATTATTATTATTATTATTATTACGGTAATATCTGGAACACAGTAAAGAAGAACTTATCGAGACTAAAGCTCTCAAGATGACCCCGCGAGGGAAAATTGAACTTGAAGTTATCCATATTTCAACTAAAACAGACGTTTCGCGTTAGTTAAAAAACTCGAGAACACATTCTTACGAGGTTTGGCTTTAACTTTGTTGAGAATGCTCGAGAAATTAATCACGGGGTCACTTAGAGAAATTAACTAAACTGAGTTGTTTCAAATAGTATTCCAAAAGTTACCTTGCTATGAGTAGATTTTTAGTAAATAATTTTTTCACTTGTTGCTCGAACTTTGAGCGGAATCCGTCTTAATTTTCTCATATGCTTTCAGTACGTTTACTGAAACTGAACAATGAAACCCAGACAATGAAAACCAATCAGATGGCAGAACTGAAACAATAGATTCCAACATTTTCAAATCCAGCCGTGCCGACTGGTCTGCTATAAACGCAGGCAGACCACGCTATGTGTTCGTGGTTAATAGTTGTTTATATGAAACGAACAGAATCCATGAGGGTTATGAATAAAGCTCTGAAAATTGCATATCTAAATTACATCTCGGTCTGAATATCCCAATAAAGTTAAATGAAACGTTAATCGACTCGTGTGGTGTTTTTTCGCCTTCCTGGACCGTCTGAAGGGTCTTTTTACGAAATTTCTTTTGGCCGCAGACCGGTAAGACAAAAGAGGGAGACAAGGCTTGCAACTTGGCGGCCGCCAACCGGACCTCCTTCACTTCAAACTGGAATTAACGCCAAAATACTGAAAATCTCACCTGGATGGCGACGGTTGTTGATTGATGAGATTTTTCTCTATCTCTTCGCCGAATTTGAGCTTCATTCCTCGAACATTTTCCGAGAAAATCGATGCTGAAATCAGGAATACAGCTTTCTCAATATGACTCAGCGACCACAGGAATTCAAGGTGTGCAGGCAGTCTGCATGCCGGACACGTTAACCCCAAAAACTCTTATTAGGAAAAGTAGGGACTGTATACCCCAGACCAAATGCAGTGGCACCTCCTTTGGGGTTTTAAGGTTGATATCTAAACAACAGAACGAAAGATAAATAAGATAACGTTATTTACACAATAAAAATAAACTTTATGCGAAATTGCTAGTGGCAAGGCTGCCGTAGAATGTCACAAGTTTCTCAACCGTTTCGTTTTACAAACGTACTTATCAGGTACCTTTGCGTACTACGCTAGCACCTAGTTCTCTGTAGCATAAGCATAAAAGAAGCTTCTGCGCTAGTGAGGACGGCCGCGACATAAGCGTAAGCATAAACTTAAGAATATCAAAACCTTGCGTTCTTCTTATGCTTATTCTTATGCTTNCTGTAGCATAAGCATAAAAGAAGCTTCTGCGCTAGTGAGGACGGCCACGACATAAGCGTAAGCATAAACTTAAGAATATCAAAACCTTGCGTTCTTCTTATGCTTATTCTTATGCTTATGCTTAAGTTTACGCTGATGTCGCTATGATGTCCAGTGAGGACATGTTGGCATAAACATAAACATAAGCATAAGCGTAAGACTATCAGCCAATCAGCGAGCACTTTATGCTTATGTCAACGATGTCCTCACTGAACATAAGCATAAGCATAAGCATTAAATTAAGAAGAAAGATTATGCTTATGCATGTGTCGCGGCTGTCCTCACTAGCGCATAAGCTTCTTATAATTATGTTTATGCTTATGCTTGGGTCGCAAGTGAGGACCGGCCTTCCGTGTCGGCAAAATATTGATTCATATTAATACCGATTATCACAAATACCATTTTGCTTTAACGTATTCCTGTTGAAGCATTTTTTCTCTTTCATTACCCCCCGTGCTCTTCTTTTCGAATACCGAATACAGGTGAGTTGGTTGCTAAGGAGCCACGTGCGTGAGAGATGAGTTGAGTAGTATAGCGTGAGCGGTATAGTTGTGCGTGTAAAACCCGCGGATAAAGTTGTCCAAAAAGAACCAGCAGAGTTTGAACTTCGTCAATCACCGACAAGGATGTTAAGCTTCCCTCAGAAAATCTGTCTCATTTTTGCAACTATTCTTTCAACGGATGTCGAAATCATCATGGGAAAGTCCGTGAACAACGCCAGGTTGAAGGTAGGCTGTATTTCAGCGAAGGAGTTGTGTTCTCAGTTACTGCAAAGACTGTGAGCCATTTACAATCATGATCATGTGTTAGTAAATGGACATTTAGTTTGAAAGGCTGTTTTTCAAGAATCAAGCTTACGGTTATTTTAAAACATCAAACAGATCGATTATAAATGCAATATTCAAATAATAATTCTTTTCCACAGGGAATTTCATTAATTTGCTTGTTCATCAATCCCATGCAGTATGATTCTTGACTTTTCATGCAGAGCTTAATAGAATAATCAAGCGTGCAGTAAAAAATAATCCGTATGGGAATCATTTTTCATTCACTCGAAATGATGTTTAAGTTAGACAGTTTGTGCAATTTGTCACCGTTCACATTGAATTTCTTCGACCAGTTCAGAATCTGACTTTATTATCCAACTGCAGTGAATACCGTCCAAATAACAGGACATATATACAGCGATATTGTACAGTTATTTGTAGAAAACCTGTTTGCCGGACAGGTCGGCGCGCACACGCAACACTGTCACACTGTCCCTCTTTCACTGATAAATTTATAGACTACAGCAGTCGGATAATAAATCTCTTATTAGATGTTTTGGTATGTAGTATCGCTTTATATTTTTACTCGGTGTTTGTATTTTGACTCGCCCTACGGGCTCGGCAAAATACGGCACAACTCGTAAAAATATTCAGTGACTGCTACACACCAAAACATCTGATAAGATATATATATTCCGCAATAAGATTCATCCTTTTCGTTTGTCAAGACAACTTTTGCTCTTCACACAGAAATATCTGAGACGTTATGGCTACTTAAAACCGGCTACGAAGGTCCTCCCTCATTGGCGAGCCTCATGGGATCAAGAGCTAACTCAGTCTTCGATGGAAGGTGACAGAGAAATCGAG